CACCGAGGTGATTGACATAGTAAGGCATAGTAAGGCATATGCCCGAACTGTCTTCTGGTTGTTAGTCGATGTGAGCTAAGCATCGCGGAATCTACTGGTATGCTTGCACCCTCGATACATTATGTATTGTGGTGTTGAGCTCCTTGTTCAACTCGGTGTTTTAGTCCCTTGGCCGGGAGGGTAGTGGCTCCAGCCACCCTTAGAATCCATTCGTGTCATAGAGGCGGCTAGGTTATTATGCCAGAGTCTGTTAGTACGGCATTATGGCCCTTAAGCCCTGAGAGTGACTCGTGGTCTGCTCTTGGAGTTCATCCACGTCATAGAAGTGACTGGGTTTTATTGCGCCAAGGTCTCTGTTAGCTCGGGATTTAGGCCCTTAGGCTCTGAGAATGACACGTGGTCCACTCGGTTATTTATAGGTAATACTGCCTTAGGTTGACAATATTCCATGCCTGAGGTACTTGTTTCCCTTCCAAGGTTTCGAGCTCGTATGTTCTTTCCCCAAGTACTCGATTTACTCGGTAGGGTCTTTCCCAGTTCGGACTGAGCTTACCAACACCGGGCTCAGGCACCATAACCTTACGGAGAACTAGGTCGCCAACGTGGAGAGTCCGCTTTTTGACCCTGGTGTTATAGTACCGAGCTACCCTCTACTGGTAGGCTGCGGTCCTGATGTACGCGAGGTCCCGTAATTCGTCAAGTAAGTCGAGGTTGGTACGTAGCTCGTCTTCATTTGCCTTGTCATCATACGCTTCTAGTCTCAGCGAGGAGACTTCGATCTCGGTTGGAATGACTGCTTCGGTGTCGTAGGTGAGGTTAAAGGGGGTTTCTCCTGTGGCGGTCTTTTCCGTGGTACGACAGGCCCATAATACACTGGGAAGCTCGTCTTCCCATAGTCCCTTAGCTTGGTCCAGGCGCGCCTTTAGTCCACGGAGAATAGCTCGGTTCGTGACTTCCGTCTGACCGTTTGCCTGAGGGTGCACCACTGAGGTGAAGTTCTGCTGAATTCCCATGTCTTGGCACCACTTTTGGAATTTGATGTCTTCGAACTGCTTACCATTGTCGGAGTCAGTACCCGAGGTAATCCGAAACGACACACTATGTTCTTCCAAAAAAGGTTCTACACATTCCGGGCTGTGATTGTTGTGAGGGGTTCAACCTCGACCCACTTCGTGAAATAGTCAACTACCACCACTAGGAACCTCCTTTGCCCTGTCACTGGTGGGAATGGCCCGAGTAAGTCAATCCCCCATTGTACAAATGGCCACGGGCTAGTGAGGTATTTTAGGTCGGCGGCAGGCCGGTGGTGGATGTTGGCGTGCTTCTGACACTTGTCACATTTTTTGACGACCTTGGTCGCATCTGCCTTCATCGTTGGCCAGTAATACCCCTATCGTAGTGCTTTCTGAGCGAGGGCTCTGCCCCCCAAGTGTCCACCGCACAGGCCCTCATTAGTATCGTGGAGGACGAGCTCGACTTCAGAGGGTCGCAGGCAGCGCAGGTAAGGGAGCGTGTAGGATCTTCGGTACAACCATCCGTCTATCATGACGTATTTGGCTGCCTAACGCTCTACCCTCCTGGCGGCATTACGATCTACGGGGAGGGTCCCATGTAGCAGAAAGCTCGTGAGCGGATCAATCCAACTCGGCTCTGCTTGAACAATGGAAGCGACCTCCTCTGCCCCCTTGAGATTGTTAGGCCGAGGCAAGTTCTCTATATACACAGTCCTCATGGTGTTATCACTAGTGTTGGCTAATCGGGATAGGGCATCGGCCTCAGCGTTCTCTGATCTCGGGATTTGCTGGCTGAAGTGTGACCGAAAGTTGAGCAGAGCCCCTTTTACCTTGGCCAAGTAAGCTACCATGGTTGGCTCGCGAGCTTCGTACTCACCCATAGCCTGATTGACCACGAGCTGGGAATCGCTACAGACGACAATGTGCTTGGCTTTCACTTCCTTTGCCAGATCCAGTCCGGCTAGTAGCACCTCATACTCTGCTTCGTTGTTGGATGCCGCAAACAGAAAGTGTAAGGCGTACTCCAGTTTCACACCACTTGGCTTGTACAGAACGATCCCAGCTCCGCTGCCCTGCCGGTTTGACAAGCCATCTACATGAAGGATCCAGGGTTCCTCGTCCCAGTTCGTGCTTGGCCTAACTAGGAGAGAGGTCGCGCTGGTTGCTACTTCATGGCGCTCGAGCTCAACCAGCCCGGGAACCCCAGGCTCACCCGCACTGGGGGCCTCGTGTTCTGCCGGCTTGGGGACTTCGGAGCTAAAGGTGCATTCTACGACGAAACAGTTTCGAACAGAAACAAATGATAAACTCTGATGAAATCTAATTATTGAAGTAGGCTAGGAGAAAAATAACTAGAGAATTAGCCATGAGTGTTTTAACAGATTAAAGGAATTAAGATCAGTCGAATATGGTCGGATTAGTTACGACCAAGTGAGCAAACTAAGGGAAAATGGCGGTTCCCATTGGAGAAGGGTGTTGCTCCACCATTGTGGCCCACAGGGAATGAGGAATGGTGGCCGCAATTGCGGCCCACCGTCATACTCTTCTGGATCTCATTGCCAAGATCTGGAAGCTTGTCAGGCAGTCCAAGTGCTTGCAAGACAAGATGCCAGCGAAGGAAAGTGCGACTTGGCTTGCCATCATTAACCAAGAAGAGGCATTGTACAGGAAGCTTCACCCTGAGAGCTGCCCTCTTGTGTCATCAACAGCGGGGAGTGGATCTTTCGCCATTAGCGACAGCAATGAGTATGATGTTGAAGGGGTTGAGAATGATCCAAATGTTGTACAGGAGTGCAAGCCTCATGATGTGAATCTGTTCAATTTGGGGATGGGGTCAGCCAAAGACGGACTTATGGTTCCCCTACTGCTGTGCATCGTGAGGAAGAAGATGAACAGCATTGGATTATGGAGTTGTTGAGATATGGTTATTTTAGTAAAAACAGATGCACATTAATTGTAAAAGGATAAAATAGGTGTTTTGAAAAATATGATCATCTCTTTAATGTTTTTTGTCTTATTCATTGACAGAAGGGAGGTTTTTATCGATTTTTTTTTTTTTGAAAATAGAAGGGAGGTTTTTGCTAAAGTGAAACTATAGGGGAGGTTTTTATGTTTGTTAGAAACTTCAGGCGAGGTTTTTATATTTTACCCTAAAAATTATTAATTTTAACAATATTATTAATTAATTAGTTAAAATATATTAATACAAAGTTATCTAATAAAATAAAAAAGAATAAACCAAAAAATACAACATTAGAACACAGGTTCTATTTGCAACATATCAAACCCATATTTATATCATAATATTATTAAAACTATCAATTAAAATTTTTTATATTTAAATTTCTTATTTTTATTAGTGTTTTAAATTTGGTTTAATTTTTACTAACTTTTGTTAATATTTATTAGTTTTAAGTGAAAGTTTAGTGGCTTTTTAAAATAATATTTTTTATTTTTGTTGTTTTACGTTTGATTGTTTAATATCAACCTATTTGTATTATTTGATTTATTAATATTTTACCTTATTATGTTGTGTTACTACTCCCTCTCTCTCTCTCTCTCTCTCTCTCTCTTTTCAACATCGTGCAACTATATTAGTGTAATCAAAATAGGCAATTATTACTTTCTTATGTTTTTAAAACAAAAGTAAATAAATACAAAAAATGGAAAAAAATAGATAAATAGCTTCTCTCATAGGAGAGACATGCTCACATGGACCGTCCAATATATATATAAGCATATTAATATCTAGTTTGACAAAAATGTAAGCTGACCAATTTTGGGTTGTTTTTGAACTTTAACAAAAATCGAAAAGTATCATTATAAAAATTAAAATAAACAATTTAAGAATTAATTTTTCCAAAAAAAAATTATAAAACTAAAAGTTATAAAAATAATTTATTTTATCTATCTTAAATGATTTATATGTTCTATTTTACATATAAATTATATGTTAAAAATAAACAAGCATATTTATTATTTAAAAAAGTAGAGTTATTATTTATATAAATATACTAAACAAACAAATTTCCCAAAAAATTATAAAATTAATTTACTTTATCGACCTTAAATGATTTATATGTTTTAATTTATAATTATATATAAAATAAAAAACACCTAAATGTTAAAAATGAGATCATATTTATTATTTGAAAAAATAAGTGATAATTATTATATGATATACATATACATTTTTAAAGTCCTAATATTGTTGATTGCAATGTTTCTCTTCATATAACTTATTAAAATATGCATTTCTCACATGTTTATACTTTACACCATGGTTTTTAAAACCGACCCAAAGACCAAACCAGTCAGGGGTCCAATTACTAGGTCGAACAGTCCAACCGTTCAAATCAAACGCTCAGCCCGTTCTAATAAAAAAATTAAAAAAAATAAGAAAAATAAAAAACAATCAAAACGGTTCAAATGGTTAACTGCTCGGTTCAGTGGTTCGCTGACCAAAATCAACAGTTTTTGAGGAAAACAGAACCAGTCACCTGACCAGTTCCCGTTTTTTCCAGTCCAACTGTCTAGTCCAGTCCGATTTTGAAAACCATGCTTTACACCCTATTCATACCAATTTTAGACTTCACGGCATATATTTCCAACTATATCCGATATTTAAACTACATCCATATTCATACATTTCCAACCATATCCGACATTTAAAATAATCAATATGATATATGTTGCTTAATCTGGCTTTCCACAGGACTGGTCCTATTCAGAACCAGAATTGCGTCTAAATTACAGACCTCATAATAATTACTACTTTCAAATGACTAAAATTGCACGTAGACGGTAGAACCTTTCAAAACACGCAATTAGATGTTTATTGCCCTAGCTGCTTTTTGATATTGCCAGAAGGATTCCATTTAGTAGATCATACCATATGTTTAACTAAAAAGGGAATATTCTGTCAATATCAACAGAACAGCTAGCAACAAACTTCGAACACGTAAAAGACTGACGCAGGGCAGGAACTACCGAGGCATCAAACGGAGAATTTCTTTCCAACAAAAATGAAGGAAAATGCTCGCGAAATGTAAAACTTGTACCTCTTCTTTTCTTTCCCTTCTTTACAATTACACACGCATATACATTGCTAAAGGAGGCTAGGCCTAGGCTACTACTCTCAGAGAGATTAACTTATAACCAAGACCTTATCAGCAACGGCAAGGGACCAAATCATGCTGTATCCTTCCTTTCAAGCATGTCATTATGTCAAAGATGCCAGACAACCCCAGGGTTGTGAATGCAGGCAAAAGCCTTCTTCAAAACACCAAACACAAATGATACAAGGAAAACCATCACGACCTTCTTCGATGCCAACATCCTCAGATTCACCCTCAGCCCATGTATTTTCATGAACCTCAGTACAGCTGAACCCACCATAACAAGCCAAGCGGCAACACAAGACAAAACCATCCTCAGAGCATCCTTGCCTCCACCAACCTTAACCGGTTCATCATTGGACACCTCCACATAAGACAAAGATGGAACTTCTTCATGGCTGCTCTCTTCATGGTTTAGCTCAAGACTTTCATTCAGCCAATCTGACAATCGGACCAGCAGCCTTGCTAACCATGCAACCTCTCCATCAGATATGGGCCGCTTCATCCAGTCCCCTTTGTATTTAACTGCGGGCAATGGCTGGTTCCCAATCCTCCTAGGCTTGAATATTTCATCCCTCTGGTGCTGCCCCTGCCTAATATCTGGTGTAAATGACCTGGAATCCCCAACAGACCCACCAAATAGACAACACATCTGAGCTTTCAGAGAACCCACGGTCTGAAGGTTGTTTGCCACATTATCACCACAAGTACCTTGGATCTCAGACTCCGCTCGTAATATCAACAACTGCACAGAAATTGGCATGCAAAGAAAGAACATTGAGATTCTAGCATGTCAACAATTTGTAAATCATATATTGTGGTTCCTAAACATACAAGTAATTCTTAGCAAAGACATTCTTCTTTTGTTTTCAGGTAAAGATCCCAGATATTCAGAAATACCTGGAGGAGTTGATGACCACCATCTTCACCACCATTAAAGAGACGTAAATCCTTGTTCCAGTTCTCATGTAAAAAGGATCCATCAGCGTCACTCTCACACAAGCCATCTTCCCAGTCCTGACTCCATCACAAAATAATATGTAAATAATAAAAGACTGGATGCTCTAGAAGATTAAACAGATATCGTCTTCAATTTGCATGCAAAGTTGGACCTTATGTATCATCAATGCCGGTCAACAACAGACTCATCATGTATTAAAATTAACATGATATTATTGATGGTAACCATTGGTCCATATTTTTTTCTCTTGTTCAAAATTGCTTTTTTAAATTACAAGTTCTCTTGATAATGTAATAGGGTTATGGTAATTGGTAATGATACTAGATCCAGCTTATTTTTGCAAAACAAACCTTAACCATTCTGTCCCTCTGCTTAGATCACACATCTGAAGGAGCTTACAACATGTTAATACAAATATAGCAGAAGTTGCATTCCACATACAAAAGGATATCTTTGCAACTGAAAATTGGAAAAATGCATTTGCTGCCACTAAATTACCAGAGAGCATGTCTGCTGCAACTGTGGTCGCAACACTCCCTTGCAAGTTGCAACCCCAATCCAACACAAACAGGCCTGGGATGGAAATAAATTCATTACATCACATGAATTGCCTTTTAATTTCCATCACCAACATGCCCGTATTTAATTGGAGGTTTCAAGGTAGTGCACTGTGAGTCTGTGACCACAAGAACAGCAGATGTGAATTCAAATAACCATCTTTAAGTAGTTACCGTTGCCTTGTGTGTGTGTGGTGATTGTGTGTTGGAAGAGAGGGCAAGTAGCATACCTGCAACTGTTCTCTAATGGAAGGAACATATTTATATAAGCCATCAAGTATCAGTGAAGGAGACCCAGATGGTTTAGAATGAAATGCAGCGTCTACTTTCTTTACTAAGTCCAACAGCTCTCTTGATGATGTTAGAATGGTCAGTACCTAAAGAAACAAAGCAAAAAATAACTACACAATAAAGAAATAGAGAAACTAAACAACAATTACCATAGAAACGGGTAGTAAACATTACTTCTTTTAGCCATAACCACTTAACCAGATAAAATAAGTATCAGCATTTAGCGAATTGAGAATTAACAGCTCCTTTCTCCAAGAAAATATGAATTGGAGAGAGGACAGTTGAATGTCCAAACCTCCTCCTCTCACAATCTCATTATAGATCATTAGCAACATTCCAATAAAACATACTAATCACCATTAGAATGGTTATCCACATCATACAAAGAGTGAGTTTTAGTTAAAATGTCAAATACATAACAATGGGAAACATTTAGAAAAACGATAACAAAATATTGTAAATAATATAGAAAACGCTGCAAAATGGTCGAATCCAATTAACATTAGAGTAAACCATGAAAGATACATTTTTACAAACATTGAAACTGTCATGTTCAATATATATTATTACTTTATGAAGCACAGAACATGTGGCAAAAAGAAACTTGTGTTTTTAAATGTTAAAGAATACTAAAACTGACCCCCTGTAAAAATATCAAAATAAAAAAAAAAAAGTTTCATAGTATCAAAACACCCAATACAGATGTCTGTTTGTATCGGGTGAATCGATACCCTGAACCTTGGATATTACATACTATTTTATTATCATTTGAATATAAAAAAAAACTTTAAATATTAATGTGATTTTTATGCTTTACTCTAATCATCTATCTCTTCATTAAACTCTAAGACAATGGGGCAAAGGGCCACAGTGCAAACACATTATGCATAAAGTTAGAAATTTGTGGTAAAAGTTAACCACAAACACATGTTAATCTTGACTCTTAACTACAAACTTTTTTCGGTTGGAGGCTTAAAAAGGAGTTTTACATGTTTGAGTACAGAGTTTTGGATCAGATTAAATTTTCATACACAAGTATTGAAACAAAATACATATCTATGTCAATAAAAGAGTACATTGATCTGAACAAAATGCAACAAATGAACATTATAGTAATGCTTTGTGCCAGCTAGAAATCGAACTAATTTGTAGGATATATTAGGAAGTTTTGATTTTTAAATCATGGCTCTACAGTATATTTTACACAGAAACATGTGGCCATTCATTATGCAGTCACCACATAATATTAACATTCAAAATACTGTCAATACATGGTTCTCAAATTAAAAACCTAAACAAGTTGCACTTACAACATTGTGGCATACAAAAATTATAAATAGTACTCACAAAATGCACAAAGAAGCACCACCTAACACTCATGAATAATTGCACATAATAAGATTCATTAGCCAAGGCCCGAGATAAAAAGAATGATATCAAAAAAATAAGGTCAATTTCTAAGATAATTAGCTCTATTATGTAACCTAAAGGATTTGATTTCTCATTTAGTATTTTAATTAATAAAATACAACAATTTTCTACTAAATGCAGGAGAACATAGAATACACTACATTATATTTTATATATTCCTTTAGTAAATTTTATGAAAAAAAATTATGTATACATAGGCCAATTATCAGGCACATATAACTTTTTATATTGTTTCAATTTTATATTCTGTGTATATATCAGTTACTTTCATATAACTTTTAATGCATACACAATGCTGATTATGTTTACAAATGGATAATCAAAATAATCACCACTCATGAATATATGTATATATATATATGTATGTATGTAGGTATATATGGCACCATACCCATAACATATCTTGTATAATAAATGTCATAAAGTATATTTGAAAAATATTGATAAAGCACAACTACGAGTACAGCAATCAAGAAACTTTTGTGACCTGGGTAACCAGGGTCCAAATCTTGGAAACAGTCTCTCTATGTATAAGGTTGCATACATTTCCCTCCCCAGATCCCACATTGACAGGAGCCACATGCACTGGGCTGCCAGTATAAGTATGGCAATCAAGAAAACCCTACAAACAAGGGACAGACTTCTTACAAATTCATAGGCAAGAATATAGACCTGACTTGTCACTTATGTGGCAATGAAGTGTCTATGGAGCAAATCTATAAAAAATGCACAACTA